TTATACAATTCCTGCATAAATGCAGCCACCAATCTCCATTAATTTGGTTTGCTTAGGTTTTTATGCTCTTAAGAAGTTAAAGAAGCTGTTGTGCAGCAGAGAATAAAAAAAGATGATGGAAAATAATGAAGAAGTAGCAGGAAAAGGAGAGGTCAAGAGGAATTATGATTGTGCCTCTCTTCAATTTGACATGCATAGTTGCTTGAAAGCGTTGAAGGAGGGATCTGCACTTTTCTAGAGGCAAATAAGTAATTCGGTTTCTAGGCATCTCATGTAAGAGATTTAACTTCCTTCATATTAAGAAGACTAGAAGAGATTTAACTTCCTCCATATTAAGTAATTCGGTTTCTGTGCCACACGTATGAATCTAAAAACACTTCATTCTCATGGAAACATGATTTCAATCTAAATGAGCACCAGGTGTTTGGCTTGAATTGTAACATATTTAATTAAAAGTAATGGCTATTGTTACAGTTGGTTTTGCTGATTTTTCTTATTGGAAGTTTCAGGTTAACAACTAAAAGAGATGAAAAGAGTGTTTTCTCTGTTGATTTTTCAGAAATGTTTCATTTAGACATTATATAAAAAGGTACTTCATCTGTGGTACTAATTTAAAGATATTATTTTCTTAGCATTTTCATGTTCAATATATGCTCCCTTTACATATTGTCATAGGCTGGAAGTTTTCATTTTAGGCTTTTTAGCTATCTTAAGTAAAGAATACTTTGAAAATCATTTTTTGCCATAATGATTTATTGAGTTGTAGTGTGTATCAAATTGGCAATAAGCCTATGGGTGCGCTACTATATCCACTCCATTTGGTCCTGATTTGAGTTCTCATTCCAGGAAGAAAGAAAAGGAAAAGCCATTCAATGTGCACAGTGCAGAAAATAGCTATTTTTAAATTAATAAAACAGTTGTCGTAATGTAACTTGGCAACAGTTCAAAACCTGGAGCTGGCAAAAGACATGTACCTTGCTCAGCCAGCTAACAATTTACAAGGGATGATAATTGTGAATGGGGGAGAGATGGGTTATGGTTAAACAACTTGCATCACCAGAAACAAATATACTTCTATTTCTGTAGATCAATCTTGGATAAACAAAACAAGTACTTTTGTTTATATGGTATCTTGCATGTTTAGTTTATGTGTAAATAGATACAATTGAATTCTTTTCATATATGATTTCATACGTTTGTTCTTTTTTTTTCTTATCTTCTATTATTAATTTCGAACGATTGATATCAATCAATCATTTACACACAGAAAAATGCTAGGGGTACACCAAAAGGTGTACCCCATTTGTTCCCCACCTCCTCCATAACCATACAATAAGGCAAGAGAATTAAAAAAATTAGATAAATAAAAATAAAATTAAATTTAGAAGTGGAGAAATGGGTGGGGGACAAATGGGGTACACCAAGGTGTACCCCTAGCATTGCTCTTACACATATTCTGGACATGAATTTCATTTGAAATTCTCTTTTAAATACTTCACTTTTGATTTTGCATTTGCCCGAATTTGAGTGAGATCTTTTTGAAGTTTTTTCTATAGAGTAGGAAACTTATAAACCATCTATAATGTATTGGTGATTGAACAAGTTCTTTTTAAGAATGCTAACTTTTTTGTGGGGTGCAATTGAGGGGGGGGGGGGGGGTTTACGGGGGTGTCTTGGGGTAGGAATCATCAAGAATATACTTTTGTGCATCTCTATATCTAATGAATTATTCCGTATAATATTCCCTTCATTTATCTTTTTATTTGGAAATGCACAACAGTTAGTAATTATTATTTTTATTTCAATAATTGTTTTATATGTGGTAATAACACTTTTACATAAATTTGTAACTTCATTTTCTGGTCGTGCAACGCACGGGTACGAGTCTAGTTTAGACAAAAGTACTATTAGTGTCTCACATATATATGTATCCTTTCGCAAATATATTACATGAATAAAATTTAAGTTTGGCGACCAACTATTAATTGACATATTTCATATCATTATCAAATGTCTCATTTGTCTAAGTAACTTTTTCACACACTTATTACATGAATTAAAAGTTAAAATTACTTGGCGGTCAACTGCTAGTGAGCACATAGCTTCCACTGCGCCACTGCTTGAAAACTAACGTGTACTTTGAGTCGGTGTCTACGTCACGCCAATGTTTTGAAAACCGGACCGGACGTCGAACCGGATAAGCTACTGGGTCAAGGGTCAACCGGTTGAACCAGGTTGACTCGGGTCAATGACCCGGTCAACGACCCATGCCTTGGTATATAACATTCATATTTATGTTTAGATAATAAAAAATTAAATAATACCATGTTTTGTGGACTATTTTTAAAGATAATAAAATATTACCACATAACTTAAATACCTATCATTTGCAAAGAAAGATGTAAATATTATTTTTAATGTTAAATAAAATATTTAATATTGTGTTTTTTCTTCTCCATGTTATTTTCAATGTTATTGTTCATATATTCTTTCACACTTCCCATGTTTTGTAATATATAATTAGTATATACGGAGTATTTCTTCATTTTATAGATGATAATATTTGTTTAGATGTAATTTATTCATTACTCCGTATTATTTAATACAAAAAATAATATTTANAAGATGTAAATATTATTTTTAATGTTAAATAAAATATTTAATATTGTGTTTTTTCTTCTCCATGTTATTTTCAATGTTATTGTTCATATATTCTTTCACACTTCCCATGTTTTGTAATATATAATTAGTATATACGGAGTATTTCTTCATTTTATAGATGATAATATTTGTTTAGATGTAATTTATTCATTACTCCGTATTATTTAATACAAAAAATAATATTTATTTTTACTTTGAAATATTTTAAAAGATTATAAAATAACTACGCAACACAAACATATTCTTTCTTACAAATAGTTAAAATTTTTCTAAATTCCCTCAACACAAATAAGAAACACTATATATACTATTCTGCATGATTTTGGTAACAAGTACTTAGTAGCTTAAGTGGTTAGAGTCTTGAGAGGTGTATGGTGAGGTTTAGTGTTTGATTCCTAACTCCAACATTTTATTTTATAGCCAAAAAAAAAAATTGGACCCAACCCGCGGGTCGGCCGGGTCGACCCGGTCCTCCGGTTCTGCCGGGTTTACCGGGTTTGGGCGGGTCGATCGGTTTCCGGTTTTTATCATTGAACCGGACCGGAGTGCTCACCGGTTCGCGGTCCGACCGGTTGGACCGGCCGGTCCGGTCCGGTTCTAATAACATTGCGTCACGCATCTTCACCTTCAACCCTTTAATGCTATGACATTCTTTACATTGCTCTTGGCTGATGGAAGGGAGCACATATTTATTCACAATCTCCTATTTTGACACCAACAACCTTGACGAAGTATTCACATCACTCGCGGTTAGCCTCTTCCTCACCCATCCTAACTTGAATCTTTCCGGCACTTGCTGACCTACCAAATTGATGGTCGAATCTAAAATTTTCTTATCATGATTATCTGCATCGTTATTATTGCCGTCACAGAGTATTGGGTTCGTCTTTGGGAAGAGATCAACTAGTTTGGGAGAGGAGTTTGAAGGTGGGGGGCACTGCAGTGCCGTGAAGGTGAACTCTTCCGGACATTGAAAAATTTGTTCTCCCAGAGTTGGGGATGAAGAGAGGCTAAGGCCGGTTGAAACATGTTGTTCTACCGCCGTGGAAGGCGTTGATGGCTCTTGAAGAACTAAGGGTGTAGGGCATAAGAAAGTAAACATGGTTGTAATTCACTAATTTGTAATCAGAGTAATAAAAAATCTTACAGTGATGTTATTTATAGATGAGAGTTGAAAAAATAAAGTCATAGTTCCAAATGGGATTAGGAGAAACTATATGTCTTGATTTAGAAACAAAATGCCTCTAAAACTAATTATTGCTCAAAATTAATAGTACACACTTTTGTTTAAATCCGTCCTGTGAGGGGTGAGGTTGACGAACACAATTCTTTTATGGCGAGGAGCCTAGTCCTATACTAGTTTGGATTACCCATCAATTTTTGGAAGTCCCTCTATTTGTGGGGCTCCCCAATTTTACAACTAAAGTTTTTTTTTTCCACGTGTACTTGGAGTTTTATATTCTCTTATCATAAAATAAATAAATATATTGCATTATTATAAATTAATTGAATTGAGAGTTAAAACTCTATGAAACTTATTTGGATGAAATTAAATTTTCCAATTCCAATTCATTTTTGGCACATTATCAATTCCAAATCCACATATTTTTGTGCTACCAAATAATAGAATTAAAATTATTGTTCCCAATTCAATTCAAATTACACAATTTGAATTCCGTGTGCCAAACAAAGATCTGAAAAGCCGTCCAAATTCTGAATTATTGGAAGCAAATTTTCCTAAAACGTAATGCCCATCCACGCAAATCTCAACACCCTTCACCTCACATAGTTACATTACAAATTTACAATCAATACGTCTTTCTAAACAATGCAATAAGTATGTTTAGGGGCTTGAACAATTACATGTCTAGAGTTATCACATGAATGAATAGATTTACACAAATACTCCCAATCATCATCAACTTCAGCAGTATAACAGTTACATGCAAAAATTACTGCACCAGGTTTTTCGATCAAAATGATTATGATAAATACTGAGGGTTTCTCTTACACAGTGCAGGGCAGGGACTCGACAAGATTCGCCTGCCCGAGCCCAAGACGCGAACCTTCACCTCCTACCTCATTACCTGGTGGCAAAACTGTGGGACCTGATTCAGGATTTGCTCCACTAGTGCTATGATGATTTTCACTGCCCTCATTGGGAAGGAGGTGTTTCTGTCTTTTGCCGCGGTGTCTCTTCCTCTTGAGCCACCCACTGCTGCAAGACTTCTTCCCATTAGGCTTGAAAGACGCGGCGGTCTCATGGTGGCTGGTCCCCATGGGGTCCACGCCCTGTTTCTTCATCGGGACCACGGTGTAATTAGAAGGGGAGTGGTCTGTGGTGGGCCCCACACTGCTGGGCTTGGAAGGATCAGACTCGATGGCCAGCAGGGCGGTCCGGGCAGCTTTCAGCTCTGCTGTTTTCTTGGACTTTGATGCTCCTCCAATGTACTTGACCCCCCCAATGTCAACCGTGCAAGTGAAGAGAGGATGCCTGCCAGTTGCTTGCCTTACTGCCGTGCATTTGTACAGAGGAGTGGCGTAGTTCATCTTTTGTGCGTACTCTTGTAATATGTTCTTGCACAACCCTGTGTCATGCTGGAATTGCATCCATCAGAATATATAGGTCAATCTGTTGGAATTTACAATGCACTCCAGGTGTAAAGTCTATAGAGTAAAGATGTTCATGCCACTGGCGACTACAATATAAAGATCATTTGCAATTATGTTCCGCACCAATTCACCCTTGCAAATATATGATCCTCCAATTCAACTAAATGCTTTTGTTTTACAAATAAAGGTCTTCTATTTGGGCAACCGTTGATGTAAAACAACTGAACTACCATTGCACGGTTATTTCAGAATTCAGACTCAATTTAAAAAAAACAACATTTTTTCATGAAGGGCATTTAAATGAAAACAGGAGTATATGGTAACAAAATGTCACATTCAAAGTGGCCTTTTTTGGTGGTGGGTGGATGTGGTGTGGGGTGGGGGGCTTGCATGAGCACATTAAGTAGTTACTGAAATAAAACATCAATCACTAATCTTTTAAAATTCATGAAATCATACTTAAAAGCTTTTTACTTGACAGTTTCACTAAATTTATCATACTCCATATTTTTATTTACTTCGGAACACTTTTTGGCAAATGAAAAATATTAACTTTGCTTGATGAAACAGTTTTTTAAGAACAAATTCAGTTTTGTAACATGATATTTGGATGGATTAATTTAACTGACATAATTTGAAACCATATGAAACCATATGAGAAAAGAGGGTGTTTCAAGAATGAAAAAAAAAAGAACAGAAATTTCAGTGCCACAAGTCTTGGTGAAAGATAGATAGCACTTACAACCGGCATTGATATGCATTCTTTATTATCCCCAGACCGGGAAAGTTCCAGAAGAGCAACTTCAGCCGCTGACTGTTCTGCCGCTTTGCGATTAAAAAATCCTG